CAAAGATGGTATTTTTTTTAATTGCCAGAGGGTACATGCACTCACCAGAGAGACAGAGAGACAGGGAGAGGGAGAATGCCCCCTGAATGAGATGTGATCATTGCCATAATTCCTTCTCTATTCTCCATCCTTCAGCATTCTAGACACACATGCACATGAGTCTGGCAAGTTCGTCAAGCCACTGGGGTTGGTATTCACACTGTGGTTGGCCATGTGGGGCCTGACTTAACTACTGGGCTACAAGGCTAGCCCAGAATGTTATTTTGGCAGGGTCTTGACCTGTCACAATCCTCCTGACCCAGCCTCTCAGTTAGCTAGGATTACAGGTGCTGTTACACATGCTAGGAATATAAGATAAAAATCCCTCCCTGACCTTAAGACACTTCTATTCTCTTATGTTGAAATATAGAAAATTTAGCCCTTGTCTTGAGTAAATTAATTTCATATATTTTGCTTCATTCAAAGAATGGAAAATGTTGGGATCAATAGATGGAGTAATGGTTACGTCACTGGACTCCCATGTAGTAGACTGCAGTTCACTGGACCAAGCAGCTTAAAACTCATGCCAGACACATGTGCATGCATGCCCTAAATTCTGAGAGGCGAATGGAGGGGAAGGAATCGCTGCATGGCCATCTCCCTTTGGAGGGTGATTTCTTGCTTTCTGTCTCTTTAGTGAGTACACTTGCCCTACATCAAAAATCTCTCTCTAAAAAAAAAAAAAGGAAAATGTCATGAACACTATGTAGACAATAAAAAGATAAATCAGGGGCTAGCAGGTAGTGTGGTGTTAAGGGCACTGGACTCCCACATGGCCGACCGTAGTTCAAGTCCCGTACCTAGCGGTTTGCTTTCTCACTTTTTTCTCTCTCACACACACACTTTGTCCTTCTCTGGTCAAATTCAAATAGATAAATAAAGTTAAATAAAATAATTCTTTAAAAAGAAAGTTAAATCAGGAACCAGCAGTTAGCATAATGGCTATGTCGCTGGATTCCCACATAGTCGACCGCAGTTCACGTCCCGGACCCGGTGGCTTAGAACTCACGCCGGGCGCTTGTGTGTGTGCCCACGATCCCAAGAGGAGAATGGAGGAGAAGGGATTGCGGCGTGACCATCCCCCCTGGGGGGTGATTTCTCACTTTCTGTCTCTCTGTCTCTCTCTGTCTGTCTAGCGAGCGCACGCGCCCTATAGCGAAAAAAAAAAAAGAAAGTTAAATCATTCCTTTTGTCAGGTGGAGGCTTGATTTCATAGAGTCCCTGACTCTTCATAATTCACATTGGAGCTCTTGGGTCATTGTAAAAGTCATGATGTTCTTCTATGCAAAAGTGTGTCATGACTTTTCCAATGACCCAGTAGTTTTTAAGGGTTTTTGTTTATTTCATCAGAGAGGTGAGCAGTCTTCCCCCGCCCCCATTTTGCTATAGGCCACATGTGCTGACCAGGGAAAGGCAGAGAGAGGGAAGGAAAGTGAGAAAGCGCCCCAGGGCAGATGGCCACCCCACAGTCTCTTCTCCTCCATTCTCCTCTCAGGATTTTGCGCACGTATGCACACATGCTTGATTTGTCTTTCAAGCTGCTGGGTCCAGGACTCAACTTGTGCAGTCACCTATGTGGGATCCAGCCGTCTTAACCACAGTGCCACCGGCTGGCCAGAGACAGTCTTAATAAAGTCCCATGCTCCAATTCCCGCCCCCAGCCTTCCCTGCCAGGATCACAGGGCACACAACCAGCGTGTGCAGGTCAGCTGAAGTGGGAACTGGGAACTGAACTGGAATCTCCCATATGGCCTCCAGCATGGCACGGTGTTGCCTGACTGCATCACCACTGCAGCTGGGTCTGATTTCAAGATTGAAGTTGCTCCTTCACAGTGTATTATTTATCCCATTTGGTTTTCCCAGTACAAATATTCATTGCATACAGGTATGCAGCTTCCTTTATCCTGAAAGGGATTTATAATTCAACATTTTTGGGCTGTTCCTATGGTGGAAAATGCTGTCAGAAAATATATATCCTTTTTTTCTTTTTTTTTTTAAGTCCTAAGCTTATAGCTCAGATTTGTGCCATTAATTTAACTGTGTCGTAGAAACAGGTTTTTGTTTGTTTGTTTGTTTTGTTTTTGCTTTTTTGTTTTGTTTTGTTTTTGTTTGTTTTGTTTTGCTATAGAACGTAGGCACTCACCAGAGAGAGAGAGAAAGAAAGTGAGAAAGCACCCCTGGGGGAATGACCACACCGCAATCCTTTTTCCTCCGTTCTTCAGTCTCATCTCGGGATTTTGGGCAGTCACACACACATGCCCGGTGTGATTTTCAAGCCCCTGGATCTGGCACTTGAACTGCACAGTAGGCCATGTGGGATCCAGTGCCTTAACCTCCATGCCACCTGCTAGCCCTGATAGAAACAGCCTTTTTTTTTTTTTTTTAAAGTTTTTCTTTTTTCTATACAGTGTATAAGCTAGCCACAGAGACACAGAAAACAGAGAGTGAGAGAGGGTGAGAAATCACCTCACAGCGGGCACGGCTACACTGCAATCCCTTTTTCTCCACTCTCAGAATTTTGAGTACTCATACACATGTATGTGGCCTGATTCTCAAGCCACCAGGTCCAGAACTCGAACCATAGAGTCAGCCATGTGAGATCCAGATGCCCTATCCTCCATACTACCTGCTGGCCTGATAGAAGTGTTTTTTAAATCTTTTAGTAGAAAGTGAAGTAGAAAAACAAAACAAACAAACAAAAAATCCCAGGAATTATCTATTTTGATCAAATTTAAGAGGAGAACTTTTGTTTCAATATAATTAACAGTAATAACTCAACCCTTTGGCTAAAAGTAGTAAAATTAAAAGCTTAAAAAGCATACTGTAATGAGAATTAGTTCTCCCGTCAATGAGAAAGTGATTTCCTTGTACGTTTGAGTTTGGGGATTGAGGCATTCTACCTCCTTGCTTGTACTTGAGAGTACAAAGCTTTACTGCTCAAAAGTGTGCCCCATCAGACAGCATCACCTGGGAGTTTGTTAGAATTGTAGATGCTTGCGTTCCATCCCTAACACGGCCTTCTGAATCAGACTGTGCAGTTTTTGTTTTTGTTTTTTTGTTGAGAGAGATTTTTTTACAGGGCACGTGTGCTCACTAGAGAAACAGAGAAAGACAGAGAGAGAGAAAGTGAGAAATCACCCCCCAGAAGGATGACCACACTGTAATCCCTTCTCCTCCATTCTCCTCTCAGGATTTTGGGCACCCATGTACATGCACCTGGCTTAAGTTTTAAGCTGCCAGGTCCAGAACTCAAACCATGGTCAACTACGTGGGAGTCCAGAGACATAACAATCATGCCATCTGCTGGTCCCCAGAAACTGCATTTTTAATAAAATAATTAATTTATCGATTTATTTTTATTTGACCAGGGAAAGACAGAGAAAGTAAGAAAGAAAGCCACCAGGTCTCAGACTTGAACCAGGGTTAGCCATGTGGGAATTCAGCACCTGAACCACAATGCCACCTGCTGGCCCCAAGAACCTACTACTTTTCTTTTTTTAATAATTATTTTATTTAATTTTATTTATTATTATTATTTTAATATTTCGAGAGAGAGAGGGAAAGTGAGAAAGCAAGCCTCCAGGTCTGGGACTCGAACCACAGTTGGCCATGTGGGAGTCCAGTGCCCTTAACCACCACACCACCTGCTGGCCCCAGGAACCTGCATTTTAATTAAAAATTGCCTTCCAAAGACAGGCAAACTGTGGCCTGTGGGCAAATCCAGCTTTCATCGCTTTTTTTTTTTTTTAAACAACTGAGGACAGAAAAATGATTCTTTCATCTTTAAATGGTTGGGAAATAAAAGCAAAAGAATATTTCTTTTTTTTTTTTTTAATTGTTATCTTTTTCTTTCTTTCATAAGAGTGAGAGACAGAGACAGAGAGAAAGACAATCACCCTCAACAGTGTCTCACCCTTGCTCTTTCCCAAGCCTTCCCAGCCAGCCAGAATCATGGTCATATACAGGTCCCTCAGGAAACAAGCCAGGATGATCCACATGGATTCAGCTCACTTAACGAGTGAATTATCACTATGCCACTGAGCCAGTCCAAGGATAATATTTCTTTCTTTCTTTCTTTCTTTTTTTTTTGAGAGATTTTTGCTATAGGGTGCATGTGCTCGCCAAAAAGACAGAGACAGAGAGACAGAAGGTAAAAAATCCCCCAGTGAGGGTGGCCATGCGGCAATCCCTTCTCCTCTCAGGATTTTGGGCATGCATGCACACACCCTTGGCATGAGTTTCAAACTGCTGTGTCCTGGACTGGAACTGTGGTCAACCATGTGGGAGTCTAGCAACATAACCATTATGCCATCTGCTGGTCCCAAGAATAATATATTTTTAAATTATTTTATTTAACTTTATTTATTTGATGTTAATTTGACCAGATAGGGACAGAGTGAGAGAGAGAGAGAAAGATGGAAATTGAGAAAGCAAGCTGCCAGGTCTGGGACTCAAACCGCTGTTGGCCATGTGGGAGTCCAGCACCCTTAACTACTGTGCCACCTGCCAGTGGCATATTTCTTGACTCATTAAAATGATATGAAACTCATATTCTAATGTCTATAATTAAAGTTTTAACACTGCTACAATATTCACATTTTGTGTTTGGCTGCTTTGGCTTAAAACGAGTGAGTAGTACTAACACAAACTGTATGGCCCCAAAAGCCTACACTGTTTAACATCTGGCCCTTCACAGAAAAAGTTTACTGGCTTCTGATCTAAATTATACTAGAAGTGCATACTTCAAGGGTTTCAGGACAGCTCGCAATTGAAAGTCAGCTGATTATAATAATGTGTTGTGTAATGTTCCTTCATTGTCCTAAAGTTGAATCAATAAAGTAGAACCAGTACTTAAATAGTAGGAATGTGGGACTTTAACCTTGTTTTATAAATGAAGTACTGATGAACAAAAGAGGTTTTCACTGGGGATAAATTAGTTACCATTTTCCCCATAATTTCAATATTTTCGGCAATGAAAGGTATAATTGTTAGCACTCAGTACATTTTCTCCTAGGCTCATGTTGTTAAAGTGTCTGAATTAAGATTTTCCTCCCCAAATACAATACAGTTATTCGACTCTTGACCTAAGGGTTTGGAAACTCCAGTAATCCTTGCCAATCTTCTAGGTGGGAACCTGCTGGTATTGGTGGACCAGCATGCTGCTCATGAGCGTGTCCGTCTGGAGCAGCTTATTGCTGGTAAGGATTTGTTTGTAGCAAACACTCGAGGCTCCGCAGCAAAATTAGTATACTGGGAGAGTTTTTCTAACTGGCTGTTGTGAACAAAGATGCCTCGGACATTTAAAAAAAAAAAAAAAAAAGCTGAAGTCCTAGGATTGGCCTCTGTTATAACTGAATGAATGTAATAGTTCACTTTACTAATTCAAACATGCAGGTCTTATTTACATGGTCAAAGGCACATTTGCCATATATTTTTGGTCACGCCAGAGGTACCTAAAGATTAGGCTACTTTAGTATGACTTCCAGCACACAGATTTGCCCCGCCACCTGCCCATATGCTGAATTCACAGTTCAGAGATCACCAACAACTCAAAAGGCTGAGCAAATTTAATTTGCTTTTGAATAGGTAGTATAATCAAATAGATTGAATTTGGGAAGTTACAAGAGAAAATATAGTAAAGCCACCTTATTCCCTTGTCCGCCATCCTACCTAGTTTTTACCCCAGAGATGCCAGTATCACTCATTTTTTAGAAAGTCAATATGTTCCTAAATTTTTACTACCTATTTTTCTCATTATGGTCAATGTGTTTGCCAAGTGGTAAAATGCCAAGAAAATCTGCTTCTGTGGTCAAGTAATGAAAAATCTTGAGGTCAGAGGTAGATGAGGACCTGGGAAGATGCTTCATGGGGTTGAGTGGCAATGATATTACTACCATTTTCACTTTTCCTTAGAATGAAGGTCTAAGAGTTGGGAAAGATATAATAAAAACAGCTTAGAAAAACTTACTTGCTATAGGCTCTGCTCCATTTGAGAACAGTACTGGTAATTCTCTTCAGAGACTGGAATCCCTTCTGAAGGGATGGAAAAGCCTCCTAGAGCCATAGGATTATATAATAAATCATGTATTCTCCCAGTAGTCCACATTGTTCATTATTAAAACCATATTTACTAACTATAAGAATATTGCATTGTTCATTTGAGTATAAGATTTAAATCTTGTATTCCTTATTCTGGAAAGTACTGCTAAAATGAATTAACAGGCTGGATATTTACTAGTTTGACTTTAATAGTGGAAATCCAAGTCTAAAACAGAACGTTGAACATACCGTAAGCACTGCAGTAATTATGTCACAGCAACACCTTACAATGCTGTATTTTCACCCACATCTAGAAGACTTCCCTTCCTACTCATAACCCATTCATCTTTCTTTCAACAGATTCCTATGAGAAGCAACAGCCACAAGGCTCTGGTCGGAAAAAATTACTGGCTTCCACTATAATCCCTCCACTAGAGATAACAGTAACTGAGGAGCAGAGGAGACTCTTACGGTTAGTGCCACCATGGGCATGTGACGGGGATCGTGTACGTTCTCACGTGAATTTTGTGAGGTGTAAGCATAGCTATTTTTCCATTTTTCAGAGGAATGAACTGAGACTTGTCCGAGGTCATAACTATTACTAAGTGGAGAACCAGGCACTCAAGAGGCAGGTCTTCTGACCCCAAAGGCAGTTCTTTCCATGTTATCATAGCTGTTGAGTATAGGAAAGAGTTCCCCAATGACTCTTTTCAGTAGTTGTCTTAGAACATCCTTCCCATTTCTTTGAAACAGCCAGTGTTTGTGCTGTACTGTTTCTGGAAGTGAAATGACTACAGTAATTTCTTTCATTCTGCTTTGTCTTGGTATATTCTAGATTCTTAGCTGTCGTTACCATAATCATGTTGGAAAGAATGTAGAACGCTGGGATTGTAAGGAAGAGACAAATCATGTAGCGAGTCACAAGACAGGATGTTTTCCCATTTCTGTGCAGCACAAATTATTGAAACTGAGAAAGAGAATTGTCCCTCGATTTATTGATATTTCAAGTTTAGAAATACGTTACTGCCTGCCAATAAGTCTTTTTCCCTGGGGCAGGTTCATTGTATTAAAGGCAGCCCCATTTATTTACATAGTATTAATCAAGATTTCTCAGTTCCTGAGGCTGTTAATTACCTCCCTGCTTTAATGCTGATTCAAAACATTCTGGGAGTTTTTCTTTGTGCCAGACTCTTAAGTGCCAGCAAGGAAAAGTTAGCAGTTCCTCAGCAAAGAATAAAAACTTAGGAACAAAATGAATCTCTTAATAGAAAAAAAAGTGAAAGTTACTATAATGCAAAAAGGAAATTTGATAATAAAATCCTAAAGAAACCCACTTACTTGTGAGAGAACAGTAACAATGTTTAAAGCCTGTGGCGGCTTTTGAGAAGGTATCAAGTATTTGAAACCACACTGAAATGGAAATGAATAACAATTGAGCACCCCAATCTGAAAGCCCAAATCCAAAACGCTTCAAGATCTGAAACTTTTTGAGCACCAACCTGATACAACAAATGGAAAATACCACACCTCACCTCAGGTGACAGATTGTAGTCAAAGGCAGCACTACAAAGGGACCAGCAGGTACCATAGTGCCTAGGGTGTTGGACTCCAAAGTCCCAGACATGGTGGCTTGAAAATCATGCCGGGTGCGTGTGTGAGTGTGCCCAAGATCCTGGGAGGAGAATGGAGGAGAAGGGGTTGGGGGGTGATTTTTCACTTTCCGTTTCACTGTGTCTCTCTCTGGTAAGTGTGTGAGCCTATGGCAAAATCTAAGGGGAAAACAATGCTGCAACACAAAAGTATATGAAATTACCTTCAGCCTATGTATATAAGATGTATATGAAGCATCCATGAATTTCTTGTTTCGACTTTTGCCCAATTTAAAAATATTCCTTTTTTTTTTTTTTTTTCAGAGAGATCTTTGCTATAAGATGTGTGCTCGCCAAAAAGACAGAGACAGAGACAAAAAGTGAGAAATCTTCTCCCATGGGGGATTGCCATGCTGCAATCCCTTCTTCCTCATTCTTGGGATTTTGCACACGTATACATGCACATGCGCCGGTGTGAGTTTTAAGCTGCAGGGTCCAGGACTCAAACTGCAGTTGACTACATGGGAATCCAGTGATGTAACAATTATGCCATCTGCTGGGTCTCAAGATATTTTATTATGTATAGGTACATATCCTATAATCTGAAAAAACTGAAATTCCAAGTCATTTCTGGTCCCAAGCATTCAGGATAAGAGATACTCAACCTGTAATACTTTTACATATGAGGTTATCTCTTTAGGTGTTACCACAAAAATCTGGAAGATCTTGGCCTTGAATTTGTATTTCCAGACACTAATGAATCTCTGATCCTCGTGGGGAAAGTACCATTGTGTTTTGTAGAAAGAGAAGCAAATGAACTTCGAAGAGGAAGATCTACTGTGACCAAGAGCATCGTGGAGGTAAATATAGCTGCAGATGTTGGAGAAATTGCTGAGTGATAGTAACCTCATATTTTGTCTACAGATTCTGTTTTCCTTCCTTGCTTCCTTCATTTCTTCTTCCCTTCCTTCTTTCTTTCCTTCCTTTTTGTTACTAGGTGTTTGCATTGGCCAAAGAGAGGAAGGGAAAGTGAGAAATCACCCCCTGCGGGGAGAGTCGCACCACAGTCCCTTCTCCTCTCCTGTTCTCTTGGGATTTTGGGTGCGCATATGCCTGGCCTGATTTTCAAGCTGCTGGGTCTCGGACTTGAACCATAGAATCAGCCATGTGGAATCCAGCACTTTAACTTCTTCATGTGCATTGTCAGAAAGAGAGAGAGAGAGAGAGAGGGAAAGTGAGAAAGTACCTCCAATGGGAATGGCCATGCGATTTCTATTTACTCTTGGGATTTTGGACACACACACACACACACACACACACACACCAATCATCGTTTTCAAGCCATCAAGTCCAGGACTCAAACCATGCAGTTGGCCATGTGAGATCCTCAACCTGTAATACTTTTACATATGAGGTTCTCTCTTTAGGTGTTACCATAGGAATCACCTTAATGTGCCTTCACATGGCAATATCCTTAATCACCATGCCACTGGCCAGCCCTCTACATTTTTTATTTCAATGACTATATATGTATAAATATTTTTTGATAGATTTTTGGTGTGGGGTGTGTGCACGCACCAGAGAGACAAACAGAAAGTAAGAAATTACCCCCCAGGGAGGATGGCCACATTGCAGTCCCTTCTCCATTCCCCTCTCAGGACTTTGGGTACACTTGCACATGTACCCAATGTGAGTTTGAAGCCGCTAGGTCCAGGACTCAAACCATGGTCAACTGTGAGGGAGTCTAGCAACATAACCATCACATCATCTGCTGGCCCTGTTCAGTGACTATATCTTTTATTTCTAGGTTTATTTGGTTCTTTTTCAGATCTACCTGTTTTTGTTTTTGTTTTTATGGTTTTCTGCTTTTTTTTTAATATTACGACTTCTACTTCTTTATCCCTAGCTTTCTCTATTTTGAGTATAAGAAAATTCACATCACCTCAGTCTACCATTTTTCTAAAATTCTGAATTACTTTTGTAATATCTAAAAATTAGAATATGGATTTAGTAGGGGTGGCAGATGGTGTGGTGGTTAAGGATGCTGGACTCGCGAGAAGAGGATTCCTCATGGCTCCTGCAAAGTAGTCATTTCAGGGGACAGGAAAAATGATTTTCTACTGATAATTCAGCCTCCAGCAAACAAAGCTAGCGTGATGGATCTAAGGGCACTGTAGCTAAACATCGAAATAGTATCAGGGTTAACATTCCTCAATATCTACTGAATCTGCTGCACCAGTGATCACAACAGAACGGCAAAGAGATTCCAGATCACCTCTTTCTGCTTGCTCCTGAACACTCAGATTGAACTTCAAGAATTCGAAAGAAACACACCATCCATCAGATGACAAGAAATCACTGCAGGACCACAAGAAATATGGGAAAGCAAGAAAATACCTCTCCTCCAAGGGAAAAGAATAACTCCTCTGCATCCACAAGCAGTTCAATGCAAATCATGGAAATGTCTGATAAACAATTTAGAGTATTCATAATGGCAAAGCTAACTGAGATGGAAAAGAAGAGAGACAATGAACTGCTAAAGAGAAAGGAGAAAGAAATTGACAAGTTCCAGGAGGTGACGAAATTCTTGCAAGATCTAAAAGAGGAATTACATACTTTACAAAAGAGTCAAACAGAATTGTTAGAAATGAAGTCTATAATACAGGAAGTCAAAATCTCCCTCGAAAAGTATTAAAAGCAGATAGATCATACAGAAAATAGAATCTCAGA